TACCCTTTTTAGGGGTGTATTGTAAATGGTATTTTTTTCATTTGAAAATTTGAAATTCCAATTTTTTATTCAGATATAGGAAAATAGTTGACTTTTTTATATTGACCTTGTATCCTATGATGTTTTGGTATTTCCTCATTACTTCCAATAGATTTTTTTTCTTTCTATAAGTTACTTGAGATTTTCTACATAGACAATAATACTGACTTCAGATAGAGTTTTGTTTTTCCTTTTCAGTGATACATCCTAGTTGTCTCATGCCCTCTTCCCACCCACCTTCCCTCTAGTAATCACCAGTTTGTTCTGTATATTTGTGAGTCTCTTTTTTGTCTCTTTTGTGCTTTGTTTTGTTTCTTAAATTTCACATATGATTGAAATCATAGGATATTTGTCTTTCTTTGACTTATTTCATTTAGTATTATACCCTCTAGATTTATCCATGTTGTTGCAAATTTCATTCTTTTCTCTGAAATCATGAAATAAGATTTCATTCTTTTCTCTGGCCAAGTAATATTCTATTAGATATATATATCTATATATACACCACGTCTTTTTTATCCATTCATCTATTGACGGGCTCTTCCATATCTTGCCTACTATAAATAGTGCTGCAATATAAACATATCTTTTCAAATCTTTTCAAATGTTTTCATTTTCTTTGAGTAAATACCCAGCGATGGAATTACTGGAACATATGACAGTTCTATTTTTAATTTTTTGAGGAACCTCCACATTGTTTTCCATAATAGCTGAACCAGTTTTCATCCCCACCATCAGTACACAAGGTTCCTTTTTCTTCACATTATCACCAACTCTTGTTCTTTCTTTTTTTTATTCTCACTATTCTGACAGGTGTGAGGTGATACCTCATTGTGGTTTTGATTTGAGTTTCCCTGATGATTAGTGATGTTGAGCAACTCTTCATGGGTCTCTTGGTCATCTGTATGTCTTATTTGGAAAAATGTTTATTCAGGTCCTTTGCCCAGTTTTTAATCAGCTTATTTGTTTTTTTTGTTTTATTTTTTGGGGTTTTGTTTTTGTTTTTGTTTTGCTGTTGAGTTGTATAAATTTTATATTTTGGATATCAAATCCTTAACTTACATATCATTTGCAAATATCTTCTCCCTTTAGTAGGTTGTCTTTTTTGTTTTCGATGGTTACCTTCGCTGTGTAGAAGCTTCTTGTTTTGGTTTAGTCCCAATAGTTTGATTTTGTTTTTGTTTCCCTTGTCTTTGGAGACATATCTAGAAAGAAGTTGCTATGGCTGATGTAAAGGTAGTTACTACCTGTGTTCTTTTCAAGGATTTTTATGGTTTCAGGTCTCAGATTTAGGTCTTTAATCCATTTTGAGTTTATTTTTTGCGTGTGGTGTAAGAAAGTGGTCCAGTTTCATTCTTTTGCATGTAACTGTCCAGTTTTCCAGATGCCATTTGTTGAAGAGACTGTCTTCTTCCTGTTGGATATTCTTGCCTCCTTTGTTGAAGATTAGCTGACCAAATTATGGGTTTGTTTCTGGTCTCTCTGTTCTGTTCTATTTTGAATAGCTAGAGCAATCTTAGGAAAGAAAAATAAAGCTGGATTTGTTTCACAAATTGATCACAATCCCAGATTTCCAGATACACTACAAAGCTATAGGAATCAAAACAGTATGGTACTGGCACAAAAATAGACACAAAGACCAATGAAACAGGATAAAAAGCCAGTCACATATGTTTTATTTCTGGTTTTGGGTTGGTTTGGTTTGGTTTGGTTTTGGTCATACTGCACTAGCTAGGACTTCTCATACAGAGTTGAATAGGAGTAATGAGATAAGACATCCTTGTCCTACTCCTGCCCTTAGGGGAAAAGTGTCCAGTGTCTTAACGTTAAATATGATATTAGCTCTAAGTTTTTTGTACATGGTCTTTATCAAGCTGAGAAAGTTCACCCTATTTCTAGTTTGTTGAGAACTTTGATTATGAATGGCTAGTAGATTTTGTCAAATGCTTTTTCTTTATCAATTGATTTGATCTTGTAATTTTTCTTCTTTGGCTAATTGATGTGCTGGATTGTATTGATTGATTTTTTTTTTTTAAACATTGACCCAGCCTTCCATTCCTGGAGTAAATTCCACTTGGTTATTGTTTATAATTCATTTTATATGTTGTCAGATTTGATTTGCCAATACTTGAGGATTTTTGTGTCTATGCTAATGGGATATATTGGTCTTTAGTTTCTCATGTCTTTACCTAGTTTTGGTATCAGGGTAATAATGTTGGCCTTATAATACAAGTTTGTAAGTGTTATTTACTGGAGGAGACTGTGGAGAATTGGTATTTTTTCCTTAAATGTTTAGTAGAATTCACCAGTGACACCATTTGAGCTTGGTACTTTCTATTTTGGGAGTGATTTGATTAGTAATTCAATTTTTTTTAACAGATGTAGATCTGTTCCAGGTATCTCTTTCTCCTTGTATGAATTATTAGTGTGTCTTTTCAGGAATTTGTCCATTTCATCTAAGTTAATTTTTCAGGAATAGAATTATTCATAGTATTCTTTTATTATTAATATCTTTAGGATCAGTGATATTGACCTATCATTTCTGAGATTCACAATTTGTTTTTCTTTATTTTCTTGGTTAGGTTTTCTGGAAGTTTATTAATTTATTGATCTTTTCAAAGAAGCAGCTATTGGTTTCATTGATTTTTTTTTTAAGATTTTATTTATTTATTTGACAGATACAGCAAGAGAGGGAGTACAAGCAGGGGGAGTGGGAGAGGGAGAAGCAGGCTTCCCGCTGAGCAGAGAGCCCGATGCGGGGCTCGATCCCAGGACGCTGGCATCATGACCTGAGCCGAAGGCAGAGGCTTAACCCACTGAGCCACCCTGGCACCCCGGTTTCATTGATTTTTTTTCCCCATGTTTTCAATTTCATTGATTTATTCTAGTATTTCCTTTATATTTGCTTGCTTTTGGCTTAATTTGCTTTTTTTCTGTAGTGTTCTAAGATGGAATAGGTTACTGATTTAAAGTTTTTTTTTCTAATATATATACACTTGCTATAGATTTCCCTTTATGTACTGCTTTCAATTCATCCCACACATTTTGATAAGTGGTATTTTTATTTTTATTTCATGTACAGTATTTAAAAATTTCTTTTGAGATCTCTTTGAACTACAGGTTATTTATAAGTGTGTTGTTTGATTTTCAAGTGTTCAAGGGATTTTCCAGCTATCTCTTGTTTATTGATTTCTATTTAATTCCATTGTAGTCGGAGAACGTATTTTGTTGTATTTTGTTGTAGCTGTTGTTTTAAATTTGTTAAGGTGTGTTTTGTGGCCAAGACTATGGTTTATCATGGTGAATGTTACATATGAGCTAGAGTAGAATGATAAAATGTGTGTTTTATTGCTTTGGATGGAGTATTCTATAACAGTCAATTAGATCATGTTAATGGATAGTGTGCTGCAGGGCATCTGTATACTTACTGATTTTCTTCCTTCTTGATCTCTCAGTATTGACAGAGGGATGTTGAAGTCTCCCAACTATGATTATAAATCATGTATTTCTCCTTTCAGTTCTCTTGGTTTGGGGGTATGTATTTTGGTACTCTTTAGTTAGATGCATACATATTTTGATACTTTTGTTAGATTTATATGTTTTCTCAAATAGGATTTTGAACCCATTTAATGAGTTCTTTTTTTTTTTTAATTTATTTATTTGACAGAGAGAGTACACAAGTAGGTAGAGCAGCAAGCAGAGGGAAAGGGAGAAGCAGACTCCCCGCTGATGGGGAGCCCCATGTGGCACTCCATCCCAGCACCCTGGGATCATAACCTAAGCTGAAGGCAGGCTCTTAACCAACTGAGCCACTTAGGCGTCCCCATTTAATGAGTTCTTAATTTCAGTGTTGTATTTCTCAGCTCTAGAATCCCCATTTTATCTATGTACTTACAGGTATATGTATGTGTCTACATACACATTTATCAGAGATCCGCAAGACCATCCTCAGGCTCAGTGACTTATTAGGGTGACTCAGCAGGTGGTTCTTGTTATGGCTATGACTTATTAAAGTGCAAGGATATAAAGCAGAATCAACAAAGGGAAAAGGTACATGGAGCATAGTTGAGAGGAAGCCAGGAGCAAACCCGAGTCTTCTTCCAAATCTAGCGATGAGATTGACAACAAATGTGAAATGTCTGCCAGGGAAGCTCACTAGATGCTCAATGCTCAGGGTTTTTGTTAGGAGATGATCACATTGGTACTCTCTGCTTGAAACAGAAACTTCTGGACTTAGAAGGAACGCGTGTGTGCCGCATAACCCATATTGCTTACACAAATAGTTTAGGCACAGTGAACCATTCTTATTAGGGAATTGAAGTTCCCAGATGCCAGCCAAGGGACACCCTCATAGCAACAGACCTTTGGAACGATAGCAGTCTCAGGCCTGCTCTAGTAATTCTTTTCTGACCAGTACATATACCATACATCCATTGAACTTCTCCCACTTATTTTGTTCATATTTTCCTCTGTTTTATTGAATATATTAATCATAATCCATTTTGAAGTTCTTGTTTATTATTTCCAGTATTTGGGTCCCCTTTTGGTCTGCTTTGTCTGTTTTATTGTCTATTTTTTTTCTATCATAAAAATGATATTAAAGATCTAACTTTTTCTTGGTCTGGTTTCGTTCCCAGTCTACTGTGTGAATACTGCTAGCTCCTGCAGTGTATAATTTAATAAATGTTAATGTATATATCTCATCAGATCATAAGCACTTTGAGAACAGGAACAGTGTTTGTTTTCATCAGTACTATTTGCAGCAGGGGGAACGGTTCTGGGGCTTTAGTGGAAACTCAGTTTGTATGAGATATTTCTTTTATCCTACATAGTAAATAGCACAAAAGAAGGCATCCTGTGTGTCAGTGTTTAGCAAACTGTAAAGAGGTTAGCTCTTTTAAATTTCTTCCATGTCGTACAGTTCTGATGGCTTCATATAGAAAAGGCGTATGCTATTACAGGAACAAGTGTCATTCAAAGATGTCTGTGTGGACTTCACTCAGGAAGAGTGGTATCTGCTGGATCCTGCTCAGAAGACACTCTACAGAGATGTGATTCTAGAAAATTACAGCCATTTTGTCTCAGTTGGTAAGATTTTTTTCTCCTTTGCTAAGGTTTTGTTTCCCTTGTGACTATCGGTAGCATGCATTTCTGGTTGCTGAAACATATGAACTGCTTCTAGAATTTTGTTTGACACTTGAGATTCAGGGCCCTGAGATGAACAGTCTCTCTGGCCTCCATAAAGAATGCTGTGTTCGTAGCCTCCTCAGGGCTTGCTTCATTCGGGCATCTCCCTTGGGCAGCTCCTGAGGCTGTACCTTTCCTCGCCATCATTTTTTGAGAGTCCCTGAAGCCAGGCTGTTTAGCCACCATCTTGTATTATCTTTTTCTTCACAGGATATTGCATTACTAAGCCAGAAGTGGTCTTCAAGATAGAGCAAGGAGAAGAGCCCTGGATATTAGAGGCAGGATTCCCAAGCCACTGCCACCAAGGTGAGTTAGTGAGTTCGCAGGCAGATGGAAGACAAGGGAATGAGATCTTAGGCTTTTGGTTTAGGGTTTATCACTTGTACAATATTCTTCAGAAATTTCTTTTATAAATTTTAGACCTTTGGAAGTGACAAAGGACAGTTGGCCCACATCCCGCCATTACCTTAATCACATTCCTCCACATGTCACTTTCCCTCATAAATGCTTTCCCTTGCTCTTTGATATTTTAGAGTGATTTACTAATACCTGTAATGCAAACTCAGTTGGCTTCATCTTCGGTAATTTTTCTAGGTTAGTTTATCTTTGAAAATTGTTAACATTCCCTCTATTCTCTTTGGACACCTTTTGTTTTCATGCTGTACTTGAGATACTACTCATTTAACAAATACGTGTTGGGCACTCACTAGGATCCAGTTGTGTTTTTAGGTAATTAAAAGATTAGCATCCCTTTTATCGTGGAGTATGTATTATAGTAAGGGTCAAGAAGTATGTTTGTGTGTGTGAAGTACATGCATGTGAGTGTGTTCATACAGTATTTGTGGTGGTAAACACCATGGAGAGAGTTAAAGCAGTGGAGAGGGGGTGGAGAATGGCGGCGTGTGCTAATGGGTAAGGAAGTCAGAGAAAACCTGTTTCATGAGGTCCACAGGAGGGGTGAGACCCTAGTACAGTGAAAGTGGGAGCTGTTACAGGCAGGTGCCAAACTTCTTAGCTGTGTTCTTAGAATGTTTGAAGAATGGCAAGGGGGCATTGCGGCTGGAGGTGAGTATGTGTTGGGGAGAGTGTTAGGAGGTGATGTCATAAGAAGTAGCATGAACCATGGTAATTTTATTTTGAGTGATATGAGAAAGCCTTGTAATTTTTTTTTTTTTTTTTTTTAGTAAATGTAAGTCAGATTAAATCATCAGATCTGACTTAGCAGTTTATGCAGTAAATACAATCTGGTGGTTAGGTGGTGCTTAGGCACAAGTGAGGAATACCATTGAGACTGTTAATATACGCCAGAGGAGAGAGGATAATGACTTAGGTGATGTTGGAAGTGCTGAGGAGTGGAAGGTTTGTACATATATCTTGAGGATGAAGCCAACAAGATTTGCTGTTGATAGTGTGGAAGAGAGACAGGAGTCCAGCATGACTCAACTGATTTGTCTCAAGCAACTGGATAAAAACTGGGTGCCATTTATTGGGAGGAAATTAGATTATAGGGGAGTTAAGACATACCCAAACTTGGATACAAGATGCTGGGAGAGAACTGCTAGAACCCAGTCTCTGTGTTGAATAAGATGTTGGTTCTGTGTGGTGCACGTGGCAGAGGCCAGAGCCGGAAGTGCCCTGTGAGAGGTGTCAGCGGTGGGTGGTGGTAAAGGCCTGAGGCTGGGTGAGAGCTTCTAGATCAGAGGTTGGTGGGATTTTATGTAAAGACAATAGGACATATTTTCGGTTTGGTGAGTCACATGTGGCCTGGCTGGCTGCTGCTGTTGCTGCTCCCCCCGCCCCTTCCTGGTTCTCCTTTTCCTTCTTCTTCCTCCTCACTTCTCCCTACTGCCTCTTCTTTCGTTTCCCTTTAAAAATGTAAAAAAACAGGCGCCTGGGTGGCTCAGTGGGTTAAAGCCTCTGCCTTCGGCTCAGGTCATGATCCCAGGGTCCTGGGATCGAGCCCCGCATTGGGCTCTCTGCTCAGCAGGGAGCCTGCTTCCTCCTCTCTCTCTGCCTGCTTCTCTGCCTACTTGTGATCTCTGTCTGTCAAATAAATAAATAAAATCTTAAAAAAATAAAAAAAAATAAAAATGTAAAAAAACATTCGTAGTTTAAGGACCCTTGCTCAATAGTTATCGTTTGCCGGCTCCTTTTCTAGAGAGTGGCTTTGCACGTGAGAGCAGTGGTTCTGGAACAATTCCACTTCTGCAGGGTATGAAAATCCATAAAATCTCATCACGAGAGGAGCTTAAGGAGGAACAGTCTGAGCCAGGGGGAAAACCTGAGAGCCTGGTTTCCTGGGAATCCGATAAGGAACACGCTACTGTCCTATTACTACCTTAAATGGCAGCTCCGGGGTCAGCGCATTAAACCCATTATCCCTTATTACTAGTGTCCTCGTATTCCTGGGGTTGTTTGCCTTTCAAAACCAGCTCCCGCATCCCTTTGTTTTCTCATTTTTCACTGATCTCACTCAGAAGCAGAACTGTGTGTTCTCTCATTCCTGGCTGGATCTAATCCCTAAATGATTTTTATTTTTTTACCTGAAGCATCTGCTTTATCTTTCACTAGCCTGGCAGAGTTGCTGCTTATTAAGAAATGAAATTAAAATTAAAGTCTCCTTTCAGTGACTATTAAAATGTGGTCCTCCTATTCTTCCTGTCTCTTTCTAGCTGCTCTCTAGAATTTGCACTAAACCCCATACTGTCTTAGATTCTAAATTTCACATATAAATACTTTCTCTTCTACTACAACTTTCATTTGTGTTTACTTTGCTTTTCAGATACTTAATATTGTATGTGTAAAGTGTTTAAACATTGCATGGTACATAGTAATGGCTTATTTCACCTATTTTAAGTTAGAGCTCACTTTGTTTTCCCTGTAACTTAAATAACCCATATTTTGTGACCCTAACCCACTAGTGGCTACATCCTCAAAACTGAGAACTAATCATATTACTCTTGCTTAGGGTTTCTTTCTTTAATGAGATTTTGTTTTCCCACAGAGAAGGCCCTTTCTTTTCCCAATTCTGATAATTTACTAATTTCTTTTTTGATGAATTGTGCAGCTAAGTTTGGAAGAGATCATTTTTTCTCACCCATTCATAAAGCATTCTGAAGTACTTTTCCAAAATACGCATTCCCATTTTGTCCTTTTGTATTACCACTCATCACGTACAGGTTGGAAATAATTCATATGCACATTGCGTTTATGAATCATTCATGTTGTGTCTCTTTCATGAGGTCAGAGGAAGCAGGATTTTGGTAACATCTGCCAAGAGCTAGACTGTGGTCTTGACAAAGGGTATAGCATTGAGCAAGGAACTTAATCTTACATTATGGTGAATTTTACAGGCAGTAAACTTCTTTTAAAGATCATGAGTGAAGGCTGAAAGTGGGAGGGATGTTGCAGTGTTTGTTGGTGGTCATTCTTTTATTATTATTTTTGTGGTTCGTTGTCAGTGAAAGAAAGCAGCATTTCCTGAAAGATATCCAGGTTCCAGAAAGAGCAAGGGCTGGAGTGCAACTTACATTGTGTCTCAGGGAGTGGCCCAGCTGCAGGATTCACCTACTGTGAATCCAGTTGGTGGAAAGTTTGTTTTGTTTTGATTTGTTTTGGGGGGGTAATAATTATTACTATCTGGCCCTTGGAGCAGTGGGCTCCGGACTGCCATAGAAGTTTTTTCAGAAGTGATTAACATTATTGCATTGTGTGGCAACACGGCCAAGAATTTTTATGATAAAGTTTACCAAAGGTCTTAGAATCATATAGAGAAACATGATCCTTACAGGTCTCACAAGTAGGTAAAAGATACAGATGAGGCTAGAGAGAAAAGCAGAAAACCTTGATATAAAAGATAAACTTAAGTATAAAAGCAGACTTAAGGATCAACATTGTCTCAGGCATGAAATGGTTCTGGGGGAAGTAAGCCAGCAGATTTAAGTAAATCAACATATGACTTGATGGTGAGATTCATAAGCAGCTGTGAGAAAACAAAGTGAACCTGGTCCTTTGGCAGAGGTAGCCTGCCCCACATCTATTTTTGTATTTCCTTTTCGATATTTGTGCTGTTGTGAATCACAGCTAGATAGAGAGTGAGAGTCTGGGGTAAAGCAGTGATCCTTAAAAAATGAGGAAGTAGGTGCTTTGAGAAATTTTTGTTAATGCTGATATATCAAATGAAGGGAAAAAAAGGGACTGACAACATGCATACTAGTGAGAATCTACCATAGTAGTCAAGATGTGAGAGGAAAGGATGGGAACTGTTCTTTAAATTCTTCCTCTACTGTGTTTCTCAAACAGTCTATTTGTAGTTTATTTTTTATTGGAAAAAACCCCTTGTTGAACTTTCCAACTCTGTGAGTTTCCTGCTTCCTAAGCGGATACCTCAGAAAATACCCAATCCTTGCTTACTATGTCTTGATTTTATTTCACTTTCTCTAGCCCGCTTTTTACAGCTTTTTAAAAAAAAATAATTATTTCTTATATAATAAGTTAAAAGAAAAACTAGATGCTGGGCTATAGGACTTCTTGGTTGACCCCAAGAATGTTTGGTGTTGGTGCTCAGAGTAGAAGCATGTGCTCCCGCAGGAATCCTACCCCAAGAATCTGTACATGAGGGGATTAGGATGGAACTGTTCTCTCTCCCCCAAACATAGTTCATCTTCTGAAAGCCATCTCTACCATCACTTTATTCAGTGTTCAATGTCTCTGTCTGGCTCACCCCATTCTCTATGAGTCCCTGAATCAGCCACTCCCAGCAACCTGTGCTTTGCATTTTCACCCTTTTCTGTCCAGTTTTGAAAGTTTTGTATTTAAAATGTTAAGTGCCCTTGCCAGTTTCCATTCCCTGTTTCCACAGCAGCTTGTATTTACTTTCCACTGAGACTAGCAGGATAAAGGAAACGCATGCTTGGATTTAGTTCACGCCAGGAAACTGAGCCTAAAACAAAGGAATTGACTATATGAAAGGGTGTTTGTGGGAGTTCAGTCTCATTAGAAGTGTAGTACGATTCATAAGATGTGGTTATTTTTCTCATTTCTAGAAGACTGGAAAGTTGATGACCTGATAGAGAGCAGCCAGGACAATGAAGATGAACATTTTTGGCAACTGGCTTTCACTACCAACAAAACATTAAATATAGATAGTTGTGATAGAGTAAGAAAAGCTTTCAATCTGGGCACAGATTCTGTTCCTTCAAGAAATTTTCCATATAAGATATGTGACTCATGTGAAATGAGTTTGAAAAATATTTCAGGCTTAATTATTAGTAGAAAGAGCTATTCTGGAAAGAAGCCTGATGAGCTTAATGTATATGAGAAATTGCTCCTTGATATTAAGCATGAGAAAACTCCTCCTGGAGGGAAATCTTATAGATATAATCAAAAAAGGAATGTGCTCAGTCATAGCCACAATCTCAGTCAGCCAATTTTTGACCAGCCTTCTGAGTATAATGAAAATGGACAAGCCTTCCATGAGGAAGCGGCCTTTTTCACAAACAAGAAAATACAGATAGGAGAGACACTCTGTAAATATAATGCATGTGGAAGAACCTTCATCCACAGTTTAGAGCTCAGTTTATCTCAGAGAACTCATTTGGAGATGGAGCCATATGAATGCAATATTTGTGGGAAGTCCTTCTATACAGATTTAAGACTGGGACATCAGAGAACTCTTACAGGACAGACTCCTTATGAATACAATGAATATGGGCAAACCTTCTGTGATAACTCAACTTTCATTATCCATCAGGGAGCCTATGCAAGAAAGATTCCCCATGAATATAAAGTAGGTCCTAAAACTTGGGAAAAGTCAACCCTCTTTAAACATCAAATAGTACACATGGGCAAAAAACCTTATGAGCACAATGAAAATGGAAATAACTTCAGCAAGAAATCACATCTCACCCAACTTCGAAGAGGTCATTCAGGAGAAAAAACCTTTGAATGTGGTGAATGTGGGAAGACATTCTGGGAGAAGTCAAACCTCACTCAACATCAAAGAACACACACAGGAGAGAAGCCCTATGAATGTACTGAGTGTGGGAAATCCTTTTGTCAGAAACCACACCTTACCAACCATCAGCGAACACATACAGGAGAAAAACCCTATGAATGTAAGCAATGTGGAAAAACGTTCTGTGTGAAATCAAACCTCACAGAACATCAGAGAACACACACAGGGGAGAAACCATACGAATGTAATACATGTGGGAAATCCTTCTGCCACAGGTCAGCCCTAACTGTCCATCAGAGAACACACACAGGAGAGAAACCCTTCATGTGTAGTGAATGTGGGAAGTCCTTCTGTGTGAAGTCAAACCTCATTGTACATCAAAGAACTCACACAGGGGAGAAACCCTATAAATGTAATGAGTGTGGGAAAACCTTCTGTGAAAAATCAGCTCTCACTAAACATCAGAGAACTCACACAGGGGAGAAGCCCTATGAGTGTGATGGATGTGGGAAAACCTTCAGTCAGAGGTCAGTACTCACAAAACATCAGAGAATTCACACAAGGGTGAAAGCTCTTTCAACATCCTGATGTCCAGAAGCCCTCACCTGCTCTTTCAAGTTATTATACCATTTTTAAAAAATGAGATGAAGCCCAAAGAATGCCTCACATTACTAGAAAGCAATGTCTTATCATACTTCAAATAATACTAGCATAAAACCATACTGATATTTTGAATATGTGAAAGCTCTGAAGAAAAACTGAAACTTTTAATCAGAAAATTTATATTGAGGGGAAATTTCTTAAGATATGTGGTAGAACTCTTTGTCTAGAATTTATGTTGTGTCATATTCCAGATGTGATACCAAATTTTATTGTAAATATAGTGGATGGTATTCATTCATACCTATATTCAAGTGGAATCTGAAGTTTAAAAAAAGTTGAATCACAACAACATTAAACAATTATGAAGAGGCCCTGATGTTTGCAGGCCTGATGTGGGTATAGTAATATAGCAGAAATTAGATGTATGCTTGATTTGCATATTATAGTCCAACAGACTTATGAAGAGAAAATATCTTTTAATTAAAGAACTATTATGGTCTATATTAGTATCTTCCACACTAAATACCACCAATGTCTTTATAAGTTGCCATAATTATATATGTATATATAGTGTATATGTAAATATATTTATACACACATACCCAACACGTATGTAGTGGTGTGTTAAGAGTAAGCTCACACTGGCTTGCAACTGCCAATGGTTAAATTTTCAGGAATTTTGTGAGCCAGTACTTAAACAGTCATTATTTAAAAATTAAATTATATTAAAAACAAAGGTAATAAATTCTCAGCACTCATCAATTCCTAATTATTTTATAACATTTTGTTCTTTGTTCTTTAGGTCACTTTTATTACTGAGTCATATGGTAAAAATACCATCTAATGTGCTACTGCCCATCTCTTCCTACCTCTGCACTCAGTGTCGTCCTGTGGGTAGCTTGCTGTAGTGGGAGTGTTTACACCCTGGAAATTGGCAAACTGTACAAACCGGGGTTCTTATTTTCTCAGAGAACCTGTTGTCAAATATTTACCAGCACACCACTGTGTATATATGAAAATACATCTGAACAATTTGAAGTACAGACTACGTACACCCCTCTCTCATATCCTGACATAAATAAATGGCTATGGCTATTATTATTGAACTGCCTCTTCAGTAAAGAACCCCAAATTTGTTTTTGTGAGGTTTTTAAACTACCTCTGCATCAGTCTTAATTGTAAATACTACCTGAGTCTCTTTATAGTTTGGCCAGTATATGTTACTTTACGACCTCACCACCAACCTTCCGTCTGACGTTGCCGGCAAATAAGATTTAGTATGGCCATTGTTACTGATCTACTACTACTTCCCAAAGAAGTCAAATAATATTTTTCTGAGGTTTTTCAGTTGCCTCTGGGTCAGTCTATGATGTTGTAAGTACTGTTAGTAACAGTGGGATTTACATGAATTTTGCAAAGGTTAACATCATTTATGAACAGGAACACTCAATGCACTCCACAAATAAAAAGTATGTACTCGAATGCCACTTTCCTACTCTTGGTATTTCATTACTGTATCTATTTAGGCATGATCTGTTGTATGTGACCCAGGAACTATGTATTTGTATTTAAAATACTAGGGTGTCATGCACTGTCCCTGCCTCCTTTGTCCTACTGTTTTCCCACACCTCCTTGGAACACACTGATCAGCAGTTCCAAGAGACACTGCCCACCCACTACCCTGCTGCTGATTTGCTGGGCTCTGTTTTGTTTCTCTTTCCATTCTTCCCCTACATGATTTAGGAGTAAATCCAGATTAATCTGAGTTAATCATGGAGATGCTGTTCTAATGATTTTGTTGAGATGTTTGGAAAATATTCTGCGGTACTTCTGGGAGAGATCTCAGTGATAAACTATTGTGACATGAGAAGACAAAAGGAGAGATTGTCTCTCTTATGCTGGACTTTTTCATGTTTGCACATCATACCAAATTATAGCTTGTGGCCCTGAAGGGCAATAGTCTGAAGATACCAGCAGACAAAATGGGAAAAGCCTGGCTCAGAGAGGACTCCCGTCGTTGAGCTGCACAACTCCATCTGGACCTGTTCTCGGCTAGGACTTTCTATTACCATGGTAATAATGATTGCTTATTTATCCTTAGGGCTGTCTGTTATTTCAGCTGAAGGCATTCCTGCTGGTACAGACAAGTACTTCATTCTAAATGTTCATGTTCTATATAGTGATTTTGGGGAAGAATGATTTCTTTTGACAACACAAGAATAGCTATTTGTATCAGCCCCGCTTCTAATGAAAAACAATTCTACCCCAACCAAGAGGATTGTGATGGTAGATGTAGTACAGTGGTATGGGCCAGAAACAAGGGATCCTGAAGCACCTAGAGACTAGCATCACCCAGAAACTGTGAGCATTCTAGGTCGTAAAGGGGCAAAGATGGAAACTAGTGTCACCAGAGCCCAATAAGAGCTGCTCTCATGGAGGAGAGACCACCTCCTGGAAGATATTGTCCCTACAAGAATCGTGGCACTGAATTGCTGGTGCCTCCCTTTGGAGAACACAACCAGATACGACCTGCAGGTTAGCCCAGGTGGGTGCAGAGAAAGTGGAGAGGAGGTCTGGGTGGAGCCAATGGATAATAAGCAGCACAGTGTTGTGGTTTTTTTTTTTTGTAAATTCCTATGTAAAGTCCCAGTATTAGAAATAAACATTCTACTAGTTGGAAGTTAAGTATTTCTACTTCATTGTGCTTTTGTGTCGTAAGTAAATTCCTTTTGGAATTGAGCACTGTGCCAGGTATGTCTTTGTTGACATGTATGAAGCAGACATTATGTTAAATGACATTATTCAGATACCCCTCTGTGGTGTTTCATGTTACACGTGTTGTGAGATAAGCAGCTCTGTATTCTTCCAAATAAATAGCCAGTTGTCCCTGCATCGTTTGATTAATTTACCCCTTTCCTTGTCCACCTGATAGGGCATTTTTAGCAGGTACTTAAATATTATGACTAGTGGCTGTTGCTTTTCATCTGCTCGAGGCAACTTTTCTACATTCTTCCTGTAAGATATAGCCCATCCTTGTGAACACAAGAGTTGACATTTATCCCAGATGATACCATCTCTTCCCGGACCCACATTTGTATTGATCCAGGGATGGCTATTTGTTACAAAATAGGCCAATGAGAACTTACCCTAGAATATTTTTCACAAGTCACCATGACCAGATAGTTTGTGTCCTTGTTGCTGTGAGCAGTCCTATCAAGAAAATATGTCTGCAAGGGAGAAGATGATAGGGATAAGTGCTGTAAAGTAAAACGAAAATAGGAAAAGTTGTCAGAAGTTTGCTTCTACATAACATGGAGATGGAACGACCTTACTGGGAAGACTACAGTGGAGGGAGTGAACCTTTTGGTTATCTGGAGAGTGTGCATGCACACGCGCGCACGTGTGTGTCTGTGTAATACATGTACATGTATAACCAACAATTTTACATACCTATGATTTTGTTTCCTGAAACAACACCCTAATTACCTGTAAAATACTTTGATATTTTATTTTGTATTGTACCACATTCTGTTAAAAGAAATGCTTGTTCCCATTTACTAAACTGATTGCACAGCCCATGAACGGGTCATCTCCCAGAACTTAAACACCAGTGCTCAAGTGCAAAATCAGAAAAGGAATGGCTGGGTCATAGGTACGGTTTTCTGAAATGACTAAGTGATGGACATTCCCAGTGCCTAGATAGTGTTTCCTGGTAACCCCCTAGAACCTGTCTTTTGGGAATTGGGCCCATTTTCTGTGTGGAATGTGTCCTCACCTTGCCTGGTGTGCCCTGTCACTTCACATCTCGCCTGTACTTGGCAAGGAAAGGTAGAGCCGTAGCCTCTGGAAAGGTTCAACCCGTGGGTATCCTAGATGCCCTCAACCAACCTACTTGTTGCCCCCAGTAGGGAACTGCAGTTGTAGCTGTCCTTGCCCTACCCCTTCGACCTCCGTGTTTCTGTGGATGGCTTAGCCTGTTCTGATTCCTGTTATTTCCGTGGAACCTTCATGGGCCACCGAGCGATGGGACACTACGTAATCTCCATCTCCTTCCTCTTTCCCACCCGCCCCTCCTTTCAGACTCTGCACATCCCCAGGCTTCTCTTTCAGACAACGAGGAACTGAAATCTGCTCTTAGACACCACTTTTCAAGAGCAAGGTCCTGTCAGATACTTAGCGAGTTGGAAAAGTGATGCTTGCTATCTTTTTTGCTCCACTGTATCTGGAATTCATAGTTTGGGATGGTTGATCCTCCCTGGTTCCTTTTCCTTATATACAAAGTGGGAATAGTTATCCCCATCTGAAAGAGCAGGCCTTAGTTTTAGCTTACTTGCTGTGATACACAGACCAAAAATTCTTGTCTAACCACCACCATCCTCCTCCCCACCCCCGCCAAAGAAGTTCATTCACATCCTGAGAGGACAGCAGGGGAGTTTAGAACTATTTGAACTCCAGGCCCTAGTGAAAGTATGTCCTGCTCTGTGGGGTGTCCAACCACATTCTTTAAATTAGAAGAGGAACTTAGAGAAGCATGGCAACTGTGACTACTGCCCAGGAGCTAGTGGGACTTCCTTAGCCTTCCTAGGACTGGGTGCTCCTGTGCTGTTGGTCCATACCAGCTGTGCAGGTTGGGGGAAGAGGGCATAAATATTCTTTGGAATGTAACAGAGGAATCGTCTTCTTCCCCATCTCTCAGTTGCCTCTCCTAAAATAACTGTTGGTTTTTCGTTCAGCATGTATCCTAGGCCTTTTCCCATGCATTTTAATCCATATTTGTTTACCTACAGAGAAGTTTTAATAGACCGGATGCTTAAGGGCATTTGACTTTAGCAAATCAGAAATACTGTCAGAATATTAAAATTCTATATTGCAATCAAAAGTATCCATGCCATTTCCAAATAATATGTTGTTGCCTGGAATTAGACAACTTTAAAGCCATTGTGCCCAGTGCTTTGCAAGCTGTATTTGTAATTGCTACTGAAGAGAAATAAACCATGTAATTTTTAATAGCCTATGGATGAACAGCTATTATTGTTTATGCTTCTTGGAGTTTTCTCTTTCCAGATGATTTAGTGATTTGTGTAGATATTCTACCTTACTATAGTTTGAAACATTGAAAAATTCCTATAAAATGTGTCCAAAAGTTTTAAAACTGCTAATGTTAGTGGTTGTGATGAAAAACACACCTGAACCTTAGTAACTTTAGAGGAGTAGATACTGTAGAAGGCTGTGAAAAACTTTTACCTATGAAACAGCATGCTGTTAATTTGGTAGGTAAGGATGAGAAAATAATAATACTTAGAAAATATAAATAAAATGACTTTAATATTATACAGGAGTCATAGACTTATATTCTCTGAAATGTGTTTTTCAATTTTACTTCTATGGGAAAATTAATGAAATAATAATACTGCTCCCTATTGTTCTCAATAGGTGGATTGTAGCTTTGTCTCTGGCATTTGGTTTGGCTTCTTCTGTTTCCGTGTTCTTTTTGGAAATACACACCTGTGCACACAGTATTAGGATAACTATATACTGTAACCTCCCACTTTTCACTTCACAATATGTGATTAACATTTTGTCTGTGTTGGTTTTTCTGCCCTTATGTGCTCATTTTTAATGACTGCCTAGGATTCTCTCTTATGGATCAATACCATTTTATCTATAACCTATTGATACTCAGGTGGCTTCCAGTATTTTTATTA